AAGCCCTACATGAAAAGACCTATGAAAGGCCTCTTTCAAATTGCTATTGAATGAAGAACTAGCTTGATTTCTCAGCAGACAGGAAAATCTATACAGGTAGGTCTCCATTAGTGCAGTTAATGAATCCCACAAAATGGTTTCATTATTCGAATTCACACTATTCAAAGTGATATTGCTATGGAAAATCTGATAATTGGTTCCAAGTCAACGGAAATAGGCAAATAGGCAAAAATTTTAAAACATAAATTTTTATATGTATAATAATGAAATGTTACAGTAGAGAATAAAAAGAATATATTTATAATTTAAATTTATGGTTAACAAAGTCACAAAATAGCTATAGAAAGCAAAATAAAAACAAAAAAATTCTACCATAGATTCAGACATTCCAACATCTTGTCCTATTTTAGTGTTGCTATGACCACATTAATGTTGTTCAATTACATCAAATTTTTCCTCTAATGTAAGAATAAGCCTCTTCTTTTTAAAACTTGTCCTGTTTTCCTCTGACAGAATCTTTCTTTTCTCCATTTTGCACACACGAAGATTAGCAGCATCTAAAACCACATCCACAACTGCGCATGCGCTAGCATCAATTGCACATGTGCTAGGCTTGCATTAACTGAATTTTGGGTCACATTAAATGCAACCTGGTATCAATTTACAATTTTCACTAAAGCAAAGATCGCATTATTCTCCCTCATGCTGATCAGACCTAGCTGTGGCAGTCTTTAACATTCAGGCATGGTCACACTTAAAAAATACTCCCTGCAATGCAATGGAGGAAATACTGCATGGCCCAGATGACACTCCAGATCAAGCCGCTGCCACCATACATCTGTGATTAGTGTAACAGAAGGAAACAGCTATGAATGGATTAAAGGGTTAGGAAAGATTCCAGCTATCAAAACTAGCCTGGATTCTAGCCTGGAAAACAGCCCTAGGGACTCTTGACCGTTGCTGAATTCTTCTCAGGCAGCATCATATTGTGATGAGTTTCACAACAACACTGTGCTGTGTTCCATGCTAGAGGAAGAATCCTGAAAAAGTGAAGCTACAGCTCAAGTCTTCAGTGAATCAGTCCATCATTTTCTTAGCTCATCCCTGGGAAGAAACTTCTGAAGTTATAACATCAAAATGACTGCTGGAAGATCAGTGTCCAAAACTGGTGGAGTCTCTGTTAAATTTCATTTTATTACTCACAGCCTATTTCTTCATTCTGTCAAGATAATTTTATTTCTGTCCTCTATGGTAGTAACTATCTCATCCAATTTTGTATCAACTGCACATTTAGTGTTTTCCCATCTCTTCTTCCAACTCATTAATGATGGAAGAGTCAGGGATACAGGGCCGATCCTTGTGGCAGCCCACTTGATACCTCTCTTCAACTTGATGAGGAACCACTGATGAGATGTTTGAGGAGGATGTTTGAACTAGCTATGTCATGTCATCAAAGCCACACTTAAATAACTTAGAAATCATGGGATAAACTCATTCAAAGTAAAGAGGAATTCTTTGTCCACGTTTCTATCAATCTAAAGTTTCTATCCTGCCCCTTCATTTTCTCCTTCACAATGTCCTGTTGAAACACGTATCTTGAAATACTTTTGATCAAATAATCCAGATCTCCTCTCAAAATAAGAAGGGGCGGCAGAACATTAACTTTTAAATCAGCATTTTGTTTAGTCTTTTGCAGCATAACCAGTGAAGAATCTGGTGGCACCATAAAACTAGCAGATTTATTATGGCATTTGTTATCATGGCTCATAGTCTATGTCATCAGACACACGGAGGGAGTGTGATTTGTGAAAACTGATATGATAATACATTTGTAATAAATAAATCTTTAAATTGTTACAAGACTTTTGCTTCTATTGTTTTAGGCTGCTCCTGTATTATTTCCGATGTTTTCCTTTATTACTAAGGGCCTTATTGAAGAAAGACAGTCAGTACTATACACAGAATAAATAACTTTCCTCCAATCTTTTGCACATCTCCAGAAATAATTTTCTTTATCGTTAATCCATTGAAAAGAGATTTCCCATATTTCTGAATTGTACGTTTAGTGTTGTTCTGCAAATCCTATATAAAAATTGAAAATGTGGCACTGTTCAGTTGTTACGCAACAGACATAGCTGTCTACAGGAAAAAAAATATAATCCTGAAAAACCCCTTTCATTTACATAATCGTTTCCCCATGTCATTCATCTATTGATGTTGATAATATGGACATGCTAATGTTTAGAACATCTGGTTTATACACAGGAACTTATTTAGGAGAACTGTACCACTAAGACAACACGTGTGCTATGTATTCCTCTTGAATATTTATGGCAACAGGTGCCCTAGTAAGGTGAAACTGCTACTTTCTCTCCTTAGGCTAGATAAAGACAATTTAAGCCCTTCAACTCATGCTTTGATTACAAGCAGTCCTAGTTTCCATATCGAGTATCTCCAGTTAACCTGATTTATGGTCAGAGATCTGGAGAAGATACTTGCTTTAAAAAAGCCACTGGCTATCTAAGTATCTAATACTAACTCAGGTGTGTGGGACTATATTTCCCATCATCCATTACCTATTGTAAAGGGAGCTGCAGCCTCAGACGTATGGAGGGCACCAGGTTGGGGAAGGCTAGGTTATATAGTCTATAAAGCAGGTTCATCGTGTTTATGAAGATGTTCAAAGTCTGATTGCTTAATATATTACATACAGTAAAACTGGGTGGGGGCCACTTTCTCCAAGTCTGTGCCTACAGTCTTTTGGTGAATATTACACAGAGTTGCTTTCCACCTCTGTGTTTTTCGTGAAATAGGGCAGCCCCCAAGGTAAGTGCATAGGCCACCTTCTGCAGCACATTCCTCAGAACCCCCCCCCCGCCACAGTATTATGTGCTCCCAGCACATGAGTCATTGCTGTCCATTGCAGAGGGAGGGAGAAACAAGAGCCTTCTGTTGCCATCACTGCTGTGAAAAAAATGCCTCCTTCATGAACCTGCCTGAGTTTTAAGATCCTGACAAGGTCTTCAACCAATCCAAGTTTTAGTTTAATACAGAACTTTCTTCTGAAGCTGCTCAGTCAATTCTGCCTTTTCCTAATGTATTGACAGTAAGTGACAACAGCATAAATCTCTATTCTGCTGGTTGATTTATGAATGCTTTATCTTATATTAGTTCATTTTTGTTTTGACCTTCTTCCAAGGAACTCAGGCTGGAATAACAGGTTTCCCCTTTCTTTCCCCTAAATATTTTAACACCAGCATTCTCCAACCCATTCCTTTCAGTTGCACTGGGACTGAAAACCCCAGCCTAGCTATATTGGCTAGGAATTTGGAGGATGCTCTCTTTATATTTGAAGGGTACCCAGGTTGGGGAACACTGTCTTAGGCCCTGTGAGAAAGACTAGGCTGAAGACTCTAATGCTAAGCTCCTATTGAGTAAACCATGGTTGGCTAGGTTCCCACCACTGAGCTTAGTCATAAACCACCGCTTTTCAGTCACCATAGCTGGATGGATTCACATGACAAACTAAGCTGAAACCAAACAAACTGTATGATAGTTCAACATGACCTGTGAAGCTAGCAGCAGACTGGGCTCATGGGATCCAGAGTCTATGAACTTAGATCCCCCTACTTTTTGTTTTGTTTTGTTTTGAGAAGAGTTAGAATCACTAGAATGTTGGCATCCTAAGCATATCTTGGATTCTCTTTGAGCACTGGAACTGTTGGATGTTTGAATGCAATCTCTGTGAACACTTGGGTAGCTTAGCCAGCATTTAGTTGTGTGTTTGTTTCTGAAATGTTTTGGTCTAGTGACTTAAAAAGAAGCAGAGGAACAGATTTCATTTGGCACAAGAGGAAAAAGGATGAACGGTGTTACATAACAGCCATGATGCTGTTCCATTCTATTATACCAGCTAAGCTTGCTTCCCCACATACATACATCCCGCTCCCGCAGAAAAACATAGTTGTATTCTGCAGATCCAATTTTTGTTTGCTTTTCTGCTTTGACAGATGGAAGGAGTTAAGCTGGAGCAACAAAGCATGGCGCTACATAGAAATAGCTTGATTCATCAACTGCATGAATCATCCCAAGTTTGCAACCCCCATTATAAGACAAAACTAATCTGGGAAGGCTTGCGGTGGAAGTATGATCTTGGTAGTGCTGGAGGTAAACACTGGAGCTTGGTTTCTGACAGCCTTAATTCAAAGCTGTCCCACATACACACTCCCTTTAATATTGTCCAGCCTTGCAAATTAATCCACAAAAGAAACTGCACTGACAGATCCACGTACATCATTTTACCTACTAGTCCAATTTTCCATACATGTCTATCCTGAGTTTTTGGGATATAGTGAGAATGTAAAAAGAGGCATTTCTCTCTCTTTTAGTTCAGAAGAATGTCTCTATTGGCTTGTTATACATAGACATATTTAATATGTTGTAGATCACTAGGCTGTGTTATATAAATTATTATTAATGGCGTATTAATAAACTTAAAGTTCAAGGCAAGGTGCATGAAACATCAGCTTATATGGGAAATGCTCTGTTGACATTCCATAGCCATGAAACACATGTGGGATATCTGTCCACCTACCCTTATTAGCAATAGCAATAGCAATAAAGTTGGTTAGGAATGTGTTGTACTGCTATAAGTCAGGCCAGAAAAATAGATGATAATACCAGCCAGTTGTTATGGCAGTGGAACAAAAGGGCTCTCTCTCTCTCTCTCTCTCCCTCTCTCTCTCTGTACTGGAGTGGTTTACCAGTGCCTTTCATGATGTGGCAGGGAGGAGGTGCAGGGGGATGATCTAATCTAACCTACAGATTTGGGAGCTCCTCGTGGTCTCCAGCCCAAGTACTAACCAGGCTTGGCCTTGCCATACGTTCCAGCAATGATTGTTTTTAAAAACAAACTTAAGATTTGCATCCACAACAGCCTACCTGATGCATCATTCTGTATCACATCATGGCCAGAACAGATGCATCCAGGAAGCTTATAAGCAGGACTGAATGGCATTTCTCCCTTCTCTCATACTGCAGTTGGGGCCCAGCCAGATACAGAAGGAAGACAAGCCTTTGAGCAAGTCGATGAGGATATCGCGGTATCGCAAAGTCAGATTAAATTTATCTGCCCCATCACACAGGTAGGTAATACATCTAGGAAGCAGAGAGGGAATAATGTTACAGAGGGCATAGCAGGTCCGCAACTGTATTCTGCTCACATTCTGCAACGTGAAATCATGTGCAGGAGGTTACATGCACATATAGTATGTCTATTGTTTAATTTGGTGCTTATCAATAGTTTTGTTAAAGGGGCGTATTACTTTTCCAGTACTAAAAGCATTTTAAGTGTGAAAGGGTTGCAAACTGATTTTCTTCTGCAACAATTCCACCAGTTTGTGCAGAATAGTTTGGACACAAGTCAGAAGAATTCCACCATGTTTGTTTGCTTCCTACCTTATTTATTTAATAAATATATTTCTGGTGGCCCAGTAATATTTTGCAAGACAAGAGTGAATTTGTCTTAAGCAATCTTGAGCATGTGCTCTTTTTTAAGAATGTAAAAGATGCCTTGTTAGTTTGGACTCAGGTCCTACCATCCTTGCAGGAATTCTAATCTTTTTTAAATGCTTACATTTTATTTTCCTTCTCTTCCTTCTGTTCTTTTAAGCCTTGACTCAGCAATCCTTTTATTTGTCCTAGCCTTCCTTGGAGCAAAGGCCTGTCTATATTTCCATGTATAATAGAAAATCAATTGCAAATTACTTCATTCGTTGGCAGCGTTATGTCATAGTAATAATAAGCAGCAGTAGTTGTAGTTGTCAATTAATGGGGTTTAATTTGTGGAGCTGCAACAATAATACAGAAATGACTTGCAAACACTACTGAGTTGATTTGAACAATCAGTCATGCTGCCCAATAATTTTATTGCAGGAGGAAATGAAGAATCCAGTTAGGAATAAAATCTGCGGCCACACCTATGAGGAATCAGCCATCTTGGAACATATCTGGCGCAGAAAGCAACGTAAGAAAAAAGTCAGGTAAGCAGTCCTGAGAGTTGGTGGGGAGGGGGGAATCTTGTTCAACTCGGAAAGGTAAAACGCAGACTGTATAACTTCACTAAATTCTGACTTGGAAGCAGACCCAAGGCCAGATCTGTATTTGAGATAATAAGATGTGGGTAGTTTTCGCTATTACATTTTCTCATAATAACATTGTGCAGAGTGGCAATTGAAAGATGCATTTGATAACACATCTGTAAAGCAGCCACTCTTAATGGAAGTTGGAGCAGAGAGCTCCCGTGTCTCCTTGGTTCTTTTAATAGGCTTTATTTCAGCGCTTTCAGATGTGCTGGATTGATTATTATAGCAACCACACAGATGGACCTTCTTCAGGGTGATCTGTCTCCAACCTGGTCCTTCAAGTCTTCCAATGATGCATCCATCGCCACTGTAATTGAATCCATCCAGCTTCTCTGTCCTCTTCTCATTCCTTCCACTTTTCCCAGCATTATAGACTTCTCCAGAGAGCTAGGTCTTCACGTAATGTGTCCAGAATAGGACAACTGGAACTTGGTTATTCGGGCCTTCAGTGAGAACTCTAGATTGCAACTCTAATTAACCCCAGCTACCACAGTTGATAACAGGGATTGTAATCTGACACATCTAGAGGAACTAGAATGGGGAAGGCAGCTTTCTTCTTATGTGCTTGCCTGCCTTGGATGTCTGATAACAGTAGTATAAATAATCAGATGCTAATTACTGTATGTCAGTTGAAGAAAGAAACAATCCTTTGAACTATTAGTCCTGGGGATATATTGTTAGCCATAGTGCAAACCTATTTGGAACAGGGACGAGGAATAATACAGAAGCATACCATTCTGTTTCCTGCTTTCGTTCTCAAGGTATGGGTTCCCTTATCTTAAACAGCAGCTAAGGCAAGTGGCAATATTGTTTGGTACCTGGGAAGCATAACGTTGTCACCTTTCATTCCTTCACCCACCTGCCTGTCCGTGGCAGGTGCTGCAGCATGTAATTTCTCTCTCAAGGTATAATTAACACCAAGTACAATATTAAGATGAGTCAAGCAAGGATCCAGATGAAATATCTACACTACAGAGTTATAACAGGCTCTGTTCTGACTAGTTTGCTGGATTGCCTTTGGCAACTTAGAGCATTAAAAGAGCTCTGCTGGATCAGGACAGTGACCCGTCTTGTCCAGCCTTCTCTGTGTTAGAGCAATTAACCAGAAGCATTCAAGAAGTTCCAAGACACAGATATGAAAGTGATAGCCTTCCTCCATTGTGGTTCCCCAGCAGCTGGTTTCTAAGTTACGCTACTCAATGTTCAGGAAGTAGCAAAGAACCATCATTCTGATTGTCTGTGAATTTGTATTGTTCTTTTTTCATACCATTTGAATTGGTGGCCAGTCTGGTACATGGCAATAGAAAGCTGGAATATAGGAAGGAAATGTTCTTGATTATCTGTCTGTCTGCTTGTACCTAAATTTCTAGGAAAGGGAACATTTAACAATATCCAGGCGGAATACCTAGATTTGTGTGCAGCAGGGAAAACTGATAATCTAAGCTCTGTTCACATAAAGTGCCTGAACTTGATTTTAATTTCTTCTCATCAGACTCCAGACCTCATCCCACACTGTTTATGAGCACCCCTTTATCTCCCCCAAAAAGATTCCTTTCCCATTTCTTAATTTCAGAATGCAGAAGAGCATCTAAGCTACTATCTGAATTCACAGATGACACTGTTTGGTTCCTTAGCCCACAATTGGCTGGGTTCACACATTGCTCAGTGCGATAACCAGAGTCTACAAATCACATGGTGGGATTTACCTAAGAGGCTCAGTCAAAACTAGATGATGATCTAGTACAACATGTAATCCCAGCCCAGTCCAGAGTGGCCAATCCTTTTTACTACCTTGGAGTTCTACCGTATCATTCTGCTGTTTGAGATCCACCGATGGTGTGTCAGGAAGGAAATAGCTGTTTTTCAGACTTCCAGAAGCCCTGCTGTATGTCTGATGAACAGCAATACAGAAAGTAATGTGTTAGCGTCATCAGGTAAGTTCATGATTATGGCTTGGGCAACCGGCAATCTCTCAGTGTTTCTCATCTTTGGCAGCTTTAAGATGTGTGGACTTCAATGTTGGCTGGGGAATTCTGGGAGTTGAAGTCCACACATCTTAAAGTTGCCAAGGTTGGGAAACACTGCTCTAGATAAAGAATTGGCAAAGGATCCTTCCACAGTGTGAGGCTAGTTTCATAGATAACTCTCAGCAAGATTTAAACACATGCTCATGGATATATTTGGTATTAAATGTTGCCGGTAATATATTCTCTGTGGTTAAATCTTTGCATTTAAGCCAGTGGTTCCTTTCAGGCACTCCTTAAGTGACCGCCCCCAACACCCCCCTCCCTGTTGCTGTTCCAGAAGCTGAGAATAATTGCTGAGCTGCAGAAGCACCAGCCCGCCTGTGTCATACAGCTCCCTTTTGACTGCAGGCTTTCAAGGTACTTTAGCAAAATTAATTAATCTGGGCAAAAACATGTGCCAGATAAATAATAATTATCCTCACCTCTTTGTAGATTGGGAGAAACAAACCCCAAACTGTGAGACTCTGCGGTTTGCCCAAGGCAAACGTAGCACGCTGGAGACACAGCACCCGAGAACTGCCTTTGTCGGTCTGAGGCAAACGCCTTCCCAGACAGGATCTGGGTGCTGCCTGAGGAGAGAAGGGCCTCAGAGTGGCTGCGGCTGTGGCTGCTCCTTGGCCTCTGAGCTGCAGAGGCTGGGGATTGGGGCCTGAGAACAGGTTTTATCAAAATGGCTTGCGGTAGGCATAGCTGCAGCACAAGCAGTTTGAAAATGGGGAGGGAATGTGTGGCAGGGAGCATTAATAGCCACATCTCATGGGGAGGGAGAGCAAGACCCCTCGCTTCATTGCGCTTGCCATCCTTTATTGATTTTATTGTAATCTATATGATTGTTGTGAGCTGCTCAAGCAGGCGACATACAAGTTTAATAAATCATCATCATCATCATCTCCCCCCACCCCTTGGACGTGTCCTTCCACCATTTCAAGACAGATCTGATTTGAAATGGGGCTTCAAGCCCATCTCTATCCCTGTTCTGCCCCTTCTTTGAGAAATAGAGAGAAAGGAAAATACAAGTAGTCCTTGAATTATGACCATTCCTTCAGTGACTGTTCAAAATTACGATGGCACTGAATGAGGGGGACTTACAACTGGCCTGCGAAGTTGCAGCCATTGCAGCATCACCGCAGTCACGTGATCGCGATCCAGGCACCCAAGTGCCCGGCTGGTGATTATGACATTGCAGCAAGCCGTGGTCATGTGATCACCATTTGGGACCTTCCCCGCCAGCTTCCTACGAGCAGAGTCAAACTTGCTCCCAT